ATTCCCACAATTGGACGGAGAGTGAGTTGCTTCCCATGCTTACCCTGACGTATACCTCCAATCGCAGGAATTGCATCAGCACATAGAGTATATCGCGAAGCATAGTGCTCGGAGGAAGATACGTTTATCGTCAACACAATCACACGATATCCAGAGAACTGGAAGAATGGTGACGACCTTGGAGCGAACTTGTGATTGAAGTTGATAAGAGAGCAGATGAGCTCATAGTGGCACATAATTTTGAGACTTTACTGAACGGTTCAGTCGATTTTACAGCTTCTGAGCAGGGTTGGCAGTGCTACAACCCATCAAGTACAATACTCGTGCATTCTCTGGCTCACGCTATAGTCCAATTCACTATTCATGGACCAAGGTATGGCCAAGCGTTCCTCCGATGGCATCCTTCATCATGGCTGCTAGGGCCCCTGCGTTCCAGCTTAGAAGCCCTGCTTTGCAACCTGAGCCTTGGCAGCAGCAATGGTTGCCGCCTTGTTGGGGTCGACAAAGTTGCAGCCGTTCTTGCCATTCTGGAACTGCGCGGCCTCGGCCGAGCAGACGCCGACGCCGCTGGCATCCGCGCAGCATGCGGAAGAGCAGTCAGCGTTATCGACACAGCCTCCGGTGATGAACTGAGCTCCGTTGCCCTGGCCGACGTTCTTGGCACCGGCGTTGTTGGGGGTGATTGCGAGTGCGGTCATCGCAACTGAGTCGCGACTGAGTTAGCAGCAATACTCTGATCGGAGGGTCCGCTAGGCTGGATACTCACAAGCGAGAGTGGCGAAGAGAGTGATGCGGACCATTTTTTACGAGTGTTGGCTTGGTTGGTGATTAAAGAAAGATTTTAAGATAAATGCGACTCCAGGTCGTTGAAGCGAATGTGCATGCACTGTAGATTGATAAGAGAAGGATTGATGAAGAATTAAGACCCTCTAGCCCAGAGGCAACGAGTCTTTAAATACTCAGTCGAGACATTCAGTACTCAGTCTCGCTGAATGTCTCGACTGACAGAGTTTCGAAGCTGTGGACATTGGTCCCCTGTCAATCGAGCATCCCGCCGGCCCTGGCATCGTGACACTTTCCCGTGAGACGAGTACCATCAATTCTGAAGTGATTCCCTAGGTGCCTGAAACTTGGCAATGGAAATAGCACGGCCGTCACCGAATCGCTACTCGTTTTGCGGCTGAACTCTCCCCAAACTCCATCGGGTTCGGATCATGACATGTGTCATCCGAACGGATAGATCGGTCAGTTGCGGTTTGATCGTCGTCTGAACCATGTTTTGCGCAACGTCTGCTATTAATGCGCACAGGACCACTAGGGGCCAACTTCCGATGGTCAACTGACGATCTTCACTCGCTCATCTCACCACACAAAGGAGTATCAATCGACCAGTGTTGCTCATGTCCATTCGCTGTTCCTTGATCATGCGATGACGCATCCGCAGAGAATAGTTTCTCAGTGATTGTGATCATCTTGTCATCACGACAGTTTAGTAGTTAGCTTCGTGCCTATTGAAGTTGCAGGCGTCAAAGTCTGCGAATTCCAGGTGGTTTCAAGGCATGAAGGTAAAATCTTAAGTAGAGGGCAGGTGTCCAAGGCCATTTTTTCCCTTCAATCTTCTGGAATCATTCCTCTGTACTACCAAAAAGCTGCCTCCGAACTTATCGTCGCTAGGTCTCGATTCCCAGCCGAGTCATTGGTGGACGTGTGTCTGTGACTGCTTTTACTTTATATTGTTTTCTTAATATCCTCCTGCTTTGTAGTAGGTAGAAGGCCACAATTGGACTGTTTGGCCTGAATCATCGCGGTGAGTATGTACTTATTAAGATAGTCCTGTCAACTTCACCTGAAGGCAAAGGCCATGGATCTTCTCCCATCCTCATATGTGTAGAGGATGGGCTAATTGATTTCTAGGATGAACATGTAACAAGCCGTTAGCTGATAGGTAAAGCCCTTGCCCTTTACACAAAACCGGGTCCAAGGCAAGATTACCAGCATCATGGTGTGTTTTAAATGCTCATGTACGACCCTCGACTCGAAATAGCAATGCCGTATTGGCTGCATAACCGCTGCCTATGTGGGGATGCGAGCGGAAGACTGCGTCAATAACTCTTGAACGGACCGAAACTGGTAATATGCTTCAGTCGTACAAAGCGTAACGCCAATTTGGATGTATTTGAGAATCTTTACTTCATTGGATATAGAAGAAGATAGATTGGTTACACTGAATGTATCTCAAGCTCGCCAGAGGCTCTTCGCAGAGAAGAAGGAAGTCTTAGCCTTCGCCGCGTCGCGCTAGGCATTGCTGTACTACTTCACCAAGTTCACGTGGCGAGAGAACTCGAAAACAGGCGAGTTCAATTGTGTCGCACACCCTGATAAATGGGAGTCGTCTCCTATTCTCCTCTTGCCGCAACCTGTGGCCATGTTGACAAAGACCTTTCGAACTTCTCTGTCTGAACTCCGAGCCATTCATACGGATACGGATAGCATTTCATTGGCGTCACCAGCTTTGTATTAACCCAAAATAGAGTCGATATGTTGTTTCGGTACTCCACGAGAAGTGCCTGTCTGCTTTTGGGAGTTCGATCCTTCCTCGAAGTTCACACATGGAAAATATCTGATGTGCCGGACCCGGACCTGTTCCTTCGAAGAGGCCTATCTAATGGTATCAAAGAATATCTGGCTAAGTAAAACGTCTAAAAAGAACGATCGGCTAATATGTGATGTGGCTTCAGTTGTTGTTATCGGTAACTTTCTCTACATCGATGGCGGAGAGGTCTCTCAGCTCGATGCCGAAGGAAAACCATATACTTCCTTTGATTACGGAGTCAATCAAACCTATGGCTCTCACCCAGGTCAGTACTTTAGTGAAGATATCTTCTCGGGTCTCAACGCTTCTCTGACAGACGGATAACATAGTCAATTCTACCCTCTCAATCGACTTGTCAAAATCTTGGTCCCCCGCCAACGTTTCAATCAGGACGATACCGAAAGATCCATACGGTATGGATAGGCAAGCATTGTGGGAAAGGGCAGATAACGACTCATTCTATATATGGGGAGGACACACCGCCAACACCCTCTACTTGAAGGACGAATCGCTGTCTACTGGGTCGTGGAAGTTCCAAGCCGATGGTACTGGTGGTGGCCAGTGGTTGAAAGAGACCCCTGACAACCCCACAGAATTCACAGAGCTAGTGAGAAGTGAGGACGGAGCATTTGCCAGTACTCCTCACGGTGGCTTTTGGTTCGGGGGCTGGGCGGGAACTCGAACGAAGGTATACATGACTAACGGCGAAGCGGACTTAGCTCCAGCTGGAGCTACTCCAGGTATGATTGTTTACGATTGGAATACCAAGCTGTGGTCGAATGAGACGACCGCTTTCAAGGCTGCGTTTCCTCCCTACGGGACAGTGAGAGGTGCAAGAGCACTATATGTCCCCGACTTTGGACCAAATGGCATAATCGTGCTCCTCGGTGGCTTCATGGCGACCTTGGACCCAATAGTAAGCGGAAGCGATCGCCTCCATCAATGGATGGACATATCCAACGTTACGTTCATGGATCCGGTCTCCAAGAAATGGTATAGCCAAATGACTACAGGATCTGCTCCGACTAGACGACAGTGGTTCTGCCTGGTAGGACTCAGGAGCAAAACTACATATGAGATGTCAGTATGATGGAACAGTGTCTCGAGCCAGTCAAAGTGTTAACAAAGACAGATTCTTGTTCGGCGGAACAGCTGGGTTCTCTGACAGAGCATACAGCGATATCTTTGTATTAAGTCTACCAGGGTTTATTTGGAGACAGGTGCAATTCGACGACAAATATCCACGAACGGATCATCACTGCGCAGTAGTAGGAAATCGACAGATGATTGTTGTTGGTGGAAGAACCACAAGCAAGAGTGTGGGTAATTTGGAAGGATGGGCGCTCCGAGATCCGTGGCCGCAAGGGCTTGGTTTGTTCGACTTGGCGGAGTGGACTTGGAAGGACAATTACAATGCTAGCGCTGGTGCTTATCGCAGCCATGAAGAAATTCAACGTTGGTATCGTGAAAAGTAAGTCTACAGTCCTGAAGAACTAGGGTAAAAGCTAAATAATAGGTTTAGGGGTGTCGGTTCTGTGTCATGGTCATCGGAGGAAGTCAAGACTTTCTTCGTGCCAACAGCGAAGACCACAGCCATCCCCACAGCCATCCCAACAGTTTTGCCTCCAGCGATGCCGAGGGCTACAGAAGCCTCGAGTAATGCTATTGCGGGAGCCGCCATAGTTGGGATTATCTTAGCTGTTCTTGCATTTCTGGCAATCATGTGGATTGACGGCCGTTCGGAGAGACCAATCTTCGTACCACCGCCTGTCGATAATACGAGCTCAACGAACGACACTATGGATGTCCCACTTCAGACAAAGGAACTTGAAGCGGACCCTACCCCTTGTCTAGTAGAACCGAACTCGGACCCAAAGACTGAAACAGAGCTTCAGTGGCCTCAGCGATCGATCACAGTCCTTATCAAGACGAGCCGAGCAAGGATCCGACGCTCAGAACAGAGCTTCCGGTGGCCTCGGTGGCCCCAGTGGTGGATATTTATCCTTACTACGATGAGCCGAGTGTGGAACTGAAGGCTAGAACAGAGCTCCCCGTATCGGCGGCCGATTATCTTCCTTGCCCAGCCGAGCTGAATACGGATCCAACGACCAGAACAGAACTTCCTATGAACCCGATGGTCGGAAATAAATTGAGCCTTCCCGTGGAGCTCGACGCCTTGTATAGTCCCGCCAGTACTGTAATCAGGAATGTCCCATATGGATCAAGGCATGATCGCGCCAAGCTTATCGAATGAACTGCTCATTCGGCTTCTGGTCACCATTTGAAAAAAGGAGACGTTTGGCAACGATTTGAGTTAAGAATTGAGATATTCAATTATAGTGAAGAGTGTGAAAAAAACACCTGTGACCTCAGCATAATGCTCGAAGCAGCTCCTCGTTGACATGTGCTATTTGCTTCGTGTTGTCACGCTGACATCAATGCCTCTCTTCTTATAATGGCTTGGCGACTTGTCATATTCATCCAGAAGACTCGCATATTCGTGTAGACTTTGACCGATCGTTCTCATGATCGGCCAGGCGCTATTGCATCTTTCAAACATCTTGGCGAATAACTTGATCACCAAGTGACCAAGAGCCTCCAAAGAGTGTGAGGTGTTGTCTTCCATGGTACTCAGATCGTATCCGTCAATTGCTTCGACCGAAGCCAAAGCCTCGTTAACAACGCACTCTATCCAACTTACTATCTGGCGTTCATTTACTTGGTCTCGCGTCAGTCTTGGCATTGGCATTTTCGTTGGATTATGTAACTTACTATCCAACTCTCCCGTATCCTGTGTCTCTGCGAGCATATACAGCCATTTACTGAGAAACACTGCCGCCTCAAAGGAACAGAAGCAGTGTTGCAGACTCCAGAAGAACGCCTGGCAGCTAGCCAAGTAGTCGATACCGAGTTGCACAGGAATGTTCAATGCGTGAACCGCATGTAGAAGAGCGTAGACGAGCTGAGGCCCACGTTCTGGCGGCCGAGCATCCCAAGCATTGCCTGCAATGGTCTTTGGGTTTCCGGAACAAACCTCTTGCGGTCTTCTCGAAGCAAAATGCAGGCGTACATGAGCTAACCCAAGCAGAGACGTCGCTGTCCAAGAGAGAGACCCCTTGGTATGCCTAACGTCTAAAACGGACTCGGGAGCCTTGCACCATTGGTCACGCCACCGGTGTAGCGATGATTCGAATTTTGCAACCTCTTCGGGTGCGTACCCCGGAGATGCAGGATCCAGTGAGAGTTGTTTTGCGACTATGAGGCGTTGCAGGATCGCGTGTATCATCACAAAGTTTCCAAAGGGTGAAGGAACTGGACATTCTTCCGTGCGAGGTTGAACCAAGTTGACAAACGCCTCTTGGAAGCGAACGAGCGCCGGACTCTTGCTACGAGCCTCTAACCACAACGCAGCGCTAGGCGCCAGCCATTCATCACAAGTTACTGGCAGCCACAAATCAATCTCATTCGCCAAGATGACCGGCGGAACGTTGAAGACCAGTGTTTGAAGGTTCAAGAAGCAGAATGCGGCGAGCTTCGCCCTGCGATCTGACTCAGCTCGTGCCCAGGAATGCCAGTCCAGGTCTTCGTCGGTGTGAGAGGCATCATTTACGAGTCCGCTCTCCCGCAGACACCGCGCGAGGAGGCCTGGGTACTCGAGAGATTCTCGAACGATACAGGAGTCCTCTTGCCAGGTAGAATAGGTTGCCAACAACAAGATTGCCTTCATAGTGTCTAGGCGTGAGGCTGCAGCAGAGATATAAGCTTCTTCTCCTGCCAAGGCAAGAGAGTTAGACGGCCTGGATATTCCACATAATCCTCCAGGCTGGATCGCCAACTCTCCTGATTCTAGTCGATGCAAGATTATTGCCCTTCCAGCTCGATACAATGCGGAAGCGTTGCGTGTCTCATATCGAAGTTGAGCACCGACGGCTAGGAGTGCCAGCACCAGCTCTGGAGACTCTCGATAATATTTCATGCAGAAGGTTGGCATATGCATAAAAGGATGGTGATCATTGTATCCGTCAATATACCCAGCAATGTATCTTGACAACGATAATCTGGAAGGAAGTTTAAATGATCCTAGCGCCGCAGCGTATGGGTTGAGATATTGAATGAATTGACTTCGTTGAGATTCGTTCACTTTCCAGGGTTGCCGCAAAGGTTTCAATTCGTAAAAATCATCTAAGTTATCGAGGAGACATTAAAACCATTGATGCCGAGTAGTTCATCAAGGGAATGAAGGATATAATCGCAACTTACCTTCACCAGTCCCAGCATCTGGGATTGGATTCATGTTCCGCATCGGTGGGGGTTCATTCGACGCCAGTTCTTGACTTTCAGGAGTTGACTGATACCGACCCGTGCTTGGAGCAGATGAAATGATATGTTCGGATTCCTGAAATTGCCCTGTGGCGAATCCTGTGGACGGGAAAAGATTGAATCCGTGTTGGATGTCTAGGCCGACAGCGTCGAAGAACTCAGAGATGTCAAGCATAGCCTCCATTGGACTACTGGGCAGGTTTAGTAACTCAGGGTTGTTGCCATAAGGGAACTGTTGCATGAACTCTTGAGGAGCTGCGTCTTGGTTCCCCAAGTGCCCTAAAGCGTTCAATGTCATTTGGTTAGTGGCTTGCATGACTTCATGGTAGACTGGCCATGGGTTGAGTCCCGCCGAATTTTGGTCCTGGCCTGCACTCATTGTGGACGTCGCCAGTGGAGTAGCAGCATTGCCCGTAGCGTGGTAGAGTCGCTCGTGGCGGGTAAGCAGATCCCGCCTGGCAAAGGCTTGTCCACAATGACATTCATACGGCTTTTCTTTCGTGTCTGGGGAGCAGAATGATCAACATCGTTAGCAGACGCCCCATCGATACTAAAGCAACCTATACGACACGTACGCGTTCTCAGATGTCTTCTTAGATGCTCGCCTCGAGCGAAGGTGCGATGACACACATGGCAAGCTTTTGACATGTTGGCGCGAACTCTGTCAGGGCTATTTTGCAGCCACATAATGTCGCGTTGAAGAAAGGAGGAGTGGAAGCAGCACCACTTGGCTGTCGACTTGGGCAGTGAGAAGAGAGGAATGCCCATGCATTGTCAGGCCATTTGTAATCACGTTGATTACCTATGCAATGATGTGCCATCGGCGCGTGTAGCTTGCTCATAATGTTAGATAAGCCCAGGTCCATCCGACCAAAGTACCAAAATCAAATCGGATGACTCTTACTCTTGTACTCCGAAGTCTGCCTCATTTCGGTGGGCGCAACCGCCATCAACAAAACATTAAGTTTCAGGTGACATTAATATAACTCAACGATGTCTTGATGGGCACCGTGATGACATGATGATCTTGCGCAACATTGATGTGACGAGATTAGACTTCATGGGCTTCGACACGAAGGGTCTCCGGGTTTACAAACGGCGGTGTCTCCAACCCCACCGACCTTCAATGGAATCGGGGCCATCGCCATTGAGTTGGGGTACCCCAACTGTTGAATACACAGAGGGCCAGGTTCCAAGCCATCGCGGAATCGGTGCATCTCGCTGGCTATTGCCTCAGTAATACCAGGTGCAATTGCTCTAAAGTGTTTCCCGAGCAGACAAAATGAACATCTTACCATCTTTGAAGCCGTGGCTTTCTTATTTTTTACTTCGTCGTTTTTTGCGACGTGGATCTTGCCGTGTCGCCCAGAGCACTAGCTGTTCAGTGACAGGCGACTTTAAATTTTGGGTATCAATAGCTCAGAATTTCCTCTCAATGGAGATGGATCTTAAACAAAGGTAAGGGAAACTTTCAATCTATAATTGTTCACCAGATGTACTATCCTTCTACATTCTCAGGGCTTTCGCGTTGCTTATAGGTAGTGGCTACTTTTCGAAAGGCCTCTTTTGGTGCCCACGGTGGCATCGCTTCCGACCTCAAAGGCAGCCGGTAGAAGCCACAATGCTTGGCGATCGGCTTCTACCCACTTAGTTCATTGCATAATTTCTAAGTGCACCTACAAGACGGGTACTAAAACTCCTCTGATTGAAACTGCTCCTTTGGTAAAAAGTCCTCTCATTCCCGACTGCCATAGCCCTGTCCAGCCGATGACAGTAGTCTCTGTCTCTCTTCTACGGCATCCAACTCAGGCTTTTCTTCTGTGACGAAAGTGCGACCTTTGATAGCGACGAATGCCGTTAAAAAAGCCCCGATTATGGTGCCTGATGCGCCAAGCGTGACGTTTACAGGCGTGGGATCACAGTGTAGGGGACCGTGAGTAAGAGCATCCAGCCCAGATTGCGCGAAGTTTACTAGGCCTGAGACGCACACAATCGTACCGTAGATACGACCGAAAGTGGCGAAACCAAAGACTTTTGTTGCGTAGTCCCTTTAAACTTGATCAGCGCACGAACGTATGATCCAAAAGACAGCAAGACTGAACTTACGAGATGGCCGAGTAGTATAGGGGGCGAAAGATGACAAATAAGACAACTGTAGCATAGCCCGCCCACGCGAAGGGTAGGCAATTGAGGAGGCCAATGGCAAAGATCAGGGTAGTCAGCGCGCCAAAGGTTGCCGGTACACTGAGATTATTGAGGAGAATCCCAATGAATGGGGTGGAAAGCAGTCCACCGACAGGCAAGGCAATATCGAAGAAACGATTGATGTCTTTGGCGTCGGCCTCAGAGCCCAACATGCATCGGTATTGCGCATGGATAGTCGCGATGAAGTAGTTCATCCTCAACATCTGAACGATCGTCAAAAGCAAGATGAGGATGAACCATGGACTTTGGATCTGCTGGTGGGCCGGAACACCATGCAGAACTCCCCAGACTCCACTGGCTTCCTGACGCTCCTCGTTTATCTTGACACGCTCTTCACGCTGCTCAGCATCGCCAGTGACTTCCTCAATTTGGCCAAGCTTTGACAACCGTCGATCGGCTCGAGCACTGCGTAATTTGCGCAATTGCCTTACGTCGTCAATTTCATCATCGGACTCATGTACATCGTGCGTCTCGTCTTGAGCTTTCTCAATCTTTTGTTCCAGCTGAGGAATTGAATGATAGGACCGGACGGGCATGTACGCGAATTCGGCCAGAAGAATTAGCAATGGAACGGCGATGTAGGTGCAAAAGAACTTCTCAAGTGAGAGCTTGCCTTCTGTCGCTTCATATGCCGCACGGTAGATTAGGAACACAGCAGCCGACGCGTCAAAGGCCCCGGTGACCAGTGCGATGATGTGTCCACTGTACTTGGGAAATGCGTTGGCGAGCTGGAAGCTGGAAACAAAGACAAAGGTTCCACCGAGGGCAAGCATGATGTTTCCAAGGAAGTACCCGTCAAAGTAGGCGAAGTTGCGTGAGACTGCCATGAGGAGGCATCCTAGGGTGAGGCATACACAGGAGGCGATCCAGCAAACTCGTCTACCATAGCGATCAAGGACAGAGCCGGCCAACAGCGAAGACACATTTGCTGTAACAGAGGCGGCGATGAAGAACAAGTTCAACCTGAGGTCTTGCTCGGTGCATGGAATGTAGTCGCCGTTATCCACCGCGCCCGGATCGTTGGCATCACAAAGATCGCTGTAGACACCTTCGGCGATGAGAACAGGTTTGAGGGCCGCGAATCCGAAAACAATGCCCGCAGCTAGCCAACATGCCACTATGCTAGTCGCTACTTGTACTGCAAGGCGTTAGTTTCGAGGTTGGAAGATTCTCTAGAATCTAGACTGTGGATCTTACCCCATCGTCTGGTGTTAGAGACCTTGTAAGCAGCAATGGGCTTCTCGGCGCGTACGGTCTCAATAGGCGCAAAGCTCAGTCGTCTCCATTGCGGCTCATCACTACTACTCTCGGTGTTGGATGGGTTGAGTGTGCCGAAGATAGCCTCACCATTGCCAGTTGATTCGATCTGTTCTGTGGGACGTTCGTAGTCAAAGCCTTCGGCCTGGGTGACGTGCTGGGCGAGAGACATTACCCGAGTATTGCTGAAGTAGCGATGCTTCGCGAAAGAGTATTGCGAATGGTCTAAGAACTTAGAAAATGGATACTTTTACGAGTAGGAGGAAGCCGAGAGAATGGTCTATAGAATAAATAGGGTGAAGAATTTTTTCTTCTCCAAAGGGTTCAAGAATCGAAGAGAGTCCTCGCATTTCCATCGTACCACGTTACGACGTTGCGGCGAGTTCTCCTGCCGTGCAACGTGCACGCGACCGTAGGATGCCGTGTCAGTGACGTAACAGAGAAGAGTTAAGGAAGGGTGGGGAGAGAAAGTTCGAGCTTTCCAGCAATTTCCAAATGCCGGAATACTCGGGCAAGAGGCCGGCTATCGGGGTGGGGCCTTGCCGGGGTTGGCCCCAGCGACGTTAACGGCCCGGACCGTAAGCGGAGACTCGGCCCCGGTCCTGGCTTGCTAGCTGACTTTGCTGGCAGAACAGTCAGTTGTTCACCGGCATGGGCTCCTGATACTGGCGAGAACGGAAATGTTTGCGAGAGGTAAGCGGCAGCCAATGCCGTTAGGCAAACTCGATGTCGGCTCGTATCCGGGATTGGTGTAGGTTTGTCTACCTTACGCGACTCGGTAACCTGCAGGAAACCCCGCTGCTACTAAATTTACGGAAGTAGGACTATGCCCAAAGGAGAGATCATAAATTCATTAATATTAAGTAGGATAAGTGTCATCGAAACGGCCAACAGCCGAAAATTGCTAGGGAGGCAGGCGGAGAGGTACTAATATCGATATGCTCATATCAATAGGCGGAGTGATATCGTGGATACGTACGTTTCCTGCAATGGGCATATTAAAGTTAGTTCTGATTGTCAAAATGAAAAAGAGATGGTGAGCCTCAACAAATCATCTAGAACGAACATTGAACAGCGGCGCCTTTCGAGAAGAGAAGCCTTTCGGGAAGACTGGAAGCCCTTAACTCGATGTCTCCAAGTCTCCAACTTCATAGTGGGTCCAACCCCAACACTTGCATTTGGAGTTACCTATCTACTTTTTCGGTTCTCTTGTGCTCCTAGTAAGACGAGAACATCTGTACCACAGTACGTGGTCTTAGTTGGAGCACTCGAAGTGAGTTCGATCATTGAAGGCTGAAAATTTCGCCGTAGAATGTGCAATTTCAGGATCTCGATTCCCCCGATCGAATACAAGCTTATGGGATCTCCAAGTCAGGCAGACTTTGCGCTGGCTGGAATTTCTCCGAGCACTACATAATTTGTCATCCGGATCTCTAGGCATTTTCATATTATCGCGAGTCTAGGTACTTGATTGGCCTTGAAAGGAACTGCCTTGAGCATCACCTAGGTAAGGTAAGGTAGGTGTGAGAGAGATATTTCCTACATAAGGCAAGGCAAGAGTCCTCGAATCAGTACAGGAATTCCTACAGCAGCATCGGAACATCACCGTACCGACTATCTCAGCTATCACGCGACTAAAACATTCATTGATCATGAAAGAAGCAATCTTTGACTGCAATCTCAAGGTTGAGATCCACGACATTCCGATTCCAATCCCAGGTCCCGGACAGATCTTGATCAAGAACGTTATCTCTGGGACCAATCCGAAAGACTGGAAGGTCCCCAAGATTTGGGCACCGCAACTACCTCCCCTCAACCATGGAGATGATATTGCTGGCTTTGTTAAAAGCATTGGTGAAGGTGTCCTCGGCTTCAAGGAGGGAGACCGGGTTGCGGCCTTCCACGAAATGAACACCCCACATGGAAGTTACGCTGAATACTCCATCGCTTCGGCTCAGTCGACCTTCCTGATCCCCGACAAGACCAGTTTCGAGGGTGAGTTACCGCACGTCATCTTGCTTGAAGCTAAGTTTGTGCTAACACATCATGATTCAGAGGCGGCCACAATTCCACTCGCTGCCATGACCGCTGCTCTTGCTTTATACCAAAAGCTCGATTTGCCGCTTCCTTGGAATCCAGCCAAGACAGGTTTACCTCTTCTGGTCAACGGCGGTGCAACAGCTGTTGGTGCCTTTGCCATCAAGCTCGCGGCCCTCTCCAATATTCATCCCATTATCGCGGTCGCCGGGAGTGGTAGTCCATACGTGGAAACCTTGGTCAATAGGCAGAAAGGCGATGTAGTCATCGACTACCGCAAGGGTGAAAACCACGTTCTCGAGCAAATACGTCTGGCTGCCGGGGGGCACCCCATCTTCAATGCTCTGGATGGAGTGTCCGAAGAAGGGACAGTCCGGACCGTTGCCAAGGCCCTGGCTCCTGGCGGTAAGATCTCAGTTTTTCTGCAGACCTCCCCAAGCGATGTCAAGGCCGAGGTTTTGTACACCATGGTCGGCAATGTTCATAGCTCCAATGGAATTCTAGGTTCTCCCTTGGGCGACAAGGAGTTTGGGTCCATATTCTATCGCTTCTTCGGGCTGGGATTGGAGGAAGGCTGGTTCAATGGCCATCCTTATGAGGTTCTTCCCGAAGGCCTTGGCTCTTTGGAGAAAGCACTTAAAGACCTCGAAGCTGGCAAAGTATCGGCTAAGAAGTATCTTCTTCGCATCGAAGACACCAAGTGAAGCCCCGCTAGGGCGGTGATAGCTCATGGGCTTAGGGCAGTGACCACGGCCAGACAAGGTTGGGAAAGTGATTTAGCGGGGTTGTTAACCATGTAAACTCGGTGATAGAAAATAGAAACATCATCGTTCTGTCATCGTAAACGATAGTTACAATTGAATGAGAAAAGGTATGATGCTAACATAGATAAACGATTAATCCTGACCTGACGTAGCACCGATACCCTTGCCCTTCGCGAACTTCTCGTCCCATTCCTCGTTGATATCACTGTAATCTTCTGGCCCATAAGGCGAGTACCACTCGGCCATAAATCCTCTCTTCCGGTAATGGGCGAGACCAAGGTCACTCAGCAACAGGTCTAGGTAAGGCACAGCATCAAACACGAAGCTCGGGCACTTATTGGAGCCCCAATCTGTAGGGTAACGCCAATTACCGAAGCGGTTCATTAAGATCGTGTTGTATTGCAACTTTTGCATCGCCGTGTCGTCACCGACTGCCTTCGCAGGATCTCTGGCAAAAAGACCTGAAAAGTACGCACTGATCCACAGGCCTTGAACATGGGCCGTGATGACGTTACTAAAGTTGCCAACCATGCCGATGAAAGCTGTGTCACGTGGGCGTAAGAAGCGTTCTGATGGCGGGACGATGAAGTGATGAAGCATGTACGGGGTAAGGGTTCGGTAAGGAGTCACTGCGTCGTCGCTGTCGATGCCCTTTTGATCGGTCAGGGGCACGTAGTCTTTGTTCCATACCGGCTGATCCTTGAGCCTTGGAAAGCGCGCCAGGATCTCCTCGTCGGCTAGGTCAACAAGATCGGCCTGACCAGCAAGATCTTCTCGAGGCGCGTTGTTGATAGGCGCGTGTGGTATACCGAGCTCCGTCTCGATACCCTCTGGGAGGAACTTGATCGGTGGAACGTGTTTCCAGCCGGTGTGAGCTAGCAGAACATCGGCAGAGAACTTGGTTCCATCGGATAGATGAACCGTTCCAGAACTGAGGTGGTCGATCTCCCCGAGATGTACTTTGACCTTGCCTTCTTTGACCAAGTCAAAGAAGTTGGTGTCATAGTTAAGAATGCTGAAGCTGGTCCCTGTGAACATGGCCTCTGTCCACGGCTTTAACTTTGCCGTGTCTGGATGGGAGTCGTATGCGTTAAGCGTCATCACATCGCCTCCGAGCACTTTCCAGAAAGTATCGACAATTGTTCTCCCAATGGCAGTACCATGGAGAAAGTGACGCGTCCCAATGTAGCCATCAGCATCGCCCCACAAACAAGGGCTGAACCAGGTCAACATTCGTGTGTCTAGGGTAGTTTGAGGTATCGTTAGCTCAGAACATGTTGAGAGAGAAGCAGAGATAAACTGACTAGCAAGCTTTTCCAACCACTTGTTGAGTGGAGTGACATAAGGGGGTGCCATCCAGCAAGGTCCATGTCCCGTCGCTATTATTAAATGAGTTGGTGTCTATATCTCGGCCTGAAGTAGACTTACAGCGGATGATCCAATTCACCTTCACGCCAGCAGTTGCATACGAATAAACGGCATCCCATGCAAACTTCGTGCCACCAAAGATTGTCACGGTCTTGGCCGTCTCCAGAGTATCCGCATTCTGCTGGAAGTACTTGCCGTGAAAGATGCGACCGCCGAAACACTCTTGACCATCGAAATGGGGCAACCATGGTTCCGACGTCAAGCCAGTCGCAATGATCAGACGTCGAGCAAACACTCGGATCTCTCCATTTTGAGAGTTCGCAACTGTCAGGAACCAGCCACCTTCACTGGTTTCTTGATGTTCTGCCACAATGACCTTGTGGCACGATCGGATCTTGTCGGTAATGCCAAACTTGTCGGCATATGCTTTGAGATAGATGCTGATGGTTTCGCCTGGGATATGCTGCCCTGGCTTGATGTTGAATCTCTTACTGTCCATGGGAAAGTCAGGGTATTCGTAAGTTCCCAGCATGTTGTTGCTTTTCAAACCCGGGTATAAGCGTTCTTTTGCCCAAGTGCCACCGAGCGTGGGCTGGGAGTCGAAGACAACCAGCGAAGACTCTGGCTGCGTGCAGTGATACTGCTTTGCGGCGGCCAGACCATACCATCCTGCAATGCCATGTTAGTCAATGGAATTGTGCCACTCCATTGTATCCCGACGAGAAGATTATCTGTATGGAGACATGTAAACCCGAAGGCCTGGGATAGGTTACCTGCGCCAACCACAATGCAGTCAAACTTCTCCATCTCGTCAGCAGTGCATATGAATCTGAGAGACTTTTTTGATCAATGCCGAAAAAATCGGAGACGCGCCGGGAAAGTAAACTTGATGAACCTCTGCTTGAGGCACGACTCAGGAGTGACTAACGGAATGTAGTCCGCCAACGGCCGCCAAATTAGAATGAGACGACAACGGGATGGTTCCCCGGGATCCCATGTCCTGCCGATCTTCTTTGATTGGAAGGTGATACTACGTGCGAAAATACCCAGTTTGCGAGGGTTTTCCAGATTGAGAAGTGATGGCAGGGTTAGGAGCCCCTAACTCTGTGTTTGAGTGCAGGCTTGGCTGTAAAAGTGTTTATTAAACTCTGAAGAACCAACCCCGGGTCCACTTCCAACGGTCGACAACTGCGATGCATATTGGTTTTATCAATTTCCTGTAGGGTTACATTCGGGATTACGTATAACAGTGGCCGACTACAAATGGTGTTAGTCGGGGAAGTCGGGAATTCCTCCAGGTTCCCCTCGGCTGCATTAGTGATTGGATGTTCTGCTCGGGGCTACTCGTACATGCAACGGTTTATGGATCAGGAGCTGTCAAAATATTGAACCAACCAGACGTTGGTCCTGACGAACTCTTATGGACAAGGGCTTACATACGTGCGCGCCAAAAGTTGTGCCATATTCAATGCTTGGATGCTACCATTTGTACAGACACACACCATGAACGAGTCAGCCGTTGACCGAAAGGTTCGGATGACAGAATACCCCTGTTCATCGACATGCAGTTGGCCGACTCGGCGTAGCATCAAGGAATTATGTTGCGTATATGCAATCTTCTAAACCGCAGCAAGTCCGAACTTCGGTTACCGGTCATAAAACGAGTCTCTTGTCTCGTCCCACACACGGCGCCTGTCTTACTTCTAGGTCCCTGAAAGCAGGGAGGGCAGGGTGATAATCTTGAGTCCTTCAAAACTCTCTCATGTTCAGGGTTACACTGAACCGTTTATTAGCTCGACTGAAAACTTCAATGGCATGATGCTCAAATGCGCGATCAATCGTTGGCACCTGCAAATGGCAAAGATCACGCCATGGATGTAACGGCAAACCAACATCGTAATGATGTGACAAGCAAGACAGCTTGGTATGCCAAAGAATGCTTTGCCATTTACCGCGTCCTCGGGTGCCCCAATCGGCGGGTAGCACAGTCAGAGCATCGTTGAAAGAATGCAAACGAAGTTCTTGCTTCTTTCTTTTTCGGTGTCCCGGGGGTTCATACCAATAGTCAATCAAGAGAATCAGGTTTTGTTTGCTGAGCACCAATTCCCACCAAGTCAAATTGAATCTGTTGACTGCAGGCACATTTTCATGTTTGTATCGTTTGGACAATCAAGAACCTGCCACCGCGTTTCCCTCGCTCACCAAGCACGTGGGCCTTGAAAGCGCTTCGGACTCGCGATTTCATCCGCTGCCCTATCCGGCACATGTGATCAACGTCGACGGAACCTCAAACATTCTCCTGGTGGCACAGCTAGAGAGTATCAGCGAGGATGGAGCTCAACCACTACCATGGGTGTGGATCGGCGCCGGTCTTTCGGGCTTGGCAAGTGTCGATCGAATCGAGTAAGGGCTCCGGTTCTGGCGAAAGATTATACAAAGTAAACACCCCGGGAACCTGCATGTCTTTCCAGGCCCCTCCTGAATTTTCTGGCCGGTTCCTCTCGTTTACTTTGTTGTTTGCATCTCATCTCTTTCGAGTCTTTCTTTTACGGCATCCGACTCCGGTATGTCGTCACCAGCCGCCATGGACCCCGCCGCGGCGGAAGCGGCTGCTGCTGCTGCTCAAGCAGCTATGCAATCATTCACAATAGAGGCGTGGACCCTCTTGATAGTCGGCATTCTTTTTACCATGTTAAGGACCTACGCTAGGGTCAGGTCTGTAGGCTTCAAAGGTCTTCAAGCGGATGACTATCTTGTTTGGATCGGTGCGGTTAGTCCTTCAGGCTTTGCCCGCATACTTACCTTGAAAGTTGACATTTATTGGTGCTTACAGATATTCTATGCCATTGAGACTGCACTGGCGCATTCTGTCGGGGCTGTCGCGAAGGGTATGGCGAATAATGCCATGACAAATGAGCAACGAGCAGCTCTATCCCCAGACAGCGAGGAGTATCAACTGAGGTAAGAATATCGCATTCTTGATAAGTCGTCTTACTTATCTAGATATACTCCAGGGTGGTCGGCTCCATTATTCAGCTATGTGGATGGTCAAGCTACTCGGTCTTATTGTGGTCGCTCAAGGCATCACTGCTGGTGTTCTATTTACGGCTGACTGTAAGTGTGCAACTCGGATCATCCGTTCAACCCCGCCGGTATTGACTATTCAAGGCCGGCCTGGGTCGTGGCTACCGGCTCCGCATCTACTTTGGTTTCGGGTTTCTAGTCATCAGTTGGATCGTCGTCATCATGAATCTCTTCCTCGCTTGTCGCCCCTTTCACAAGAACTGGCAGATCAATCCTGACCCTGGGAGTAAGATTTCTCTCGAGCCACACCTTGGTGCACGGAACCTATACTTACATAACCATATCACAGATGTTTGCCAACCGGCCATTTCCAACCAAGTTGTTTGGGTTTACTTGGCGTTCAATGTGTCTACGGATCTTTACCTCTTGTCTATCCCTTTGCCGATGCTGTGGCAAGCAAGGCTCAAACCTATCAAGAAATGGGGTTTGCTATTTCTCTTTAGCGGTGGACTGTTTGTTGTTGTCTGCGCAACCCTGCGTTGTATCTTGATTGTCACAGTGAGTTTCCCTATTTACTGTTCCACCTGAACTCTTACTTATCTTTTCCTACCCAGGACCCTCAGAACGGTGCACAGCTCGCCGGATCATGGGCTGTTCGTGAGACATTCGTCGCTGTCATCACCGCCAACCTGCCTATGGTGTTCTCAATCATCAAGTTATGGCTGGGGCCCGTCTTCGGCTCTCTTCTTACTTCGCTCCGATCATCCCAAAAACTTACCGATGCGACACCGAAAGAAATACGCACTTTCGGGGCCGGTAGCAACCAAAGCTGGCGAGGTCGCGGACCCCCTTCAGCATATCCAATCACCAATATCACCTTCAACGAGAGTGAAGAGCGCATGGTGAACGAGTACAAGATGCAGGACGTCAAGACCTGGGGTGATCCCCATGCCGATAGTACTAGCAGAACTACAAGATCAAACAGCGTCCGGAGAAGTCACAGCAATCGGCGGAAGAATACTGATATCCGAAAGGATGTAGAAGTTGCCATCACTACAGAGTACATACCGCCGGCGAAAGACGCTGAGGGCAATATCAAGGCTCTGTCGCCAAGAACCTTCACCTTTGCCAGAGGGCCGAAGAGACAATCTGTGAATAATCCTGGCAATCAGATATGATGGATGGCGATCCAAAGGAATGATAATGTTGAAGCGGATATCGTAGCTAATTCCCTATGTAAAAATGTTATACCCTAATCACCCGAGTATGAGTTCATGGCCAATGAAAAGTTGGTTGATTTAGGCATCTGTATTGGAAGTAGGGACCGGGTACTATTTGCTGTAAAGGTGCATGGCGTGCAGAATATGGAAGCCTTGACTAGGCATCTATCAATGCAGCATACCTGATCCGTACCCCCCTTACCTTATCTCAATACCCAAAGCTTCCGTACAAGTTTCCGAGATGAAAGGTTTGTTGTTTCACCGCAATATTTGCAAGTCGTCTGCCTGGTTGCTTGGGCGACAGAATCCAGGCACCGACTTTTGGAGGCCATAGTGCTCCTCACCCCTTCGTTTCCCTCCTGGATTTAGCACACCAGCACAGAAGACCCACTGAGACGAGATGCGAACATTTTAACGACGAGTGAAGAAGACTGAACTTCACGAGATATAAGTCCCAGAGTCTCAAATACACTGTGAAATATTCTTAAAGTCAGAGAGTTCCATTGGCCATTCTTCTTATTTTATAGTACACGATTGACGCTGCACATTAGTCGTCATGGATGAATATCACATCAAACATACGTCTTGGTACCAGGCCTCCGTTGAGGCCTTCAGCGCCAAAGTAGCCAAGAAAGACCTGGCCGCTGCACAGGATCCGAACACCACCTCGAACCCGGACATGATCGTGGCAGCTCGACTTCGGCCAATTTTGGAGGATGAAGTGTACGCAGGCCTTATCCGTGGCGTCTTCCCGAGGCCCAACAACAACGGCGCCGTAGACATCCACCAAATCCGAAAGCACATCAAGCCCCTGGGACCTCCCACGCTTACGGTAAGCAACGACTTGCTCCCCACAGCTTCAGACATCGTGATCTAAATTGACCACGTTTCGACAGACAACTTCAGTACAGCTCGATAAAGCCTATGGCCCAGATGATACATCTGAGCAAATTTACCGAGATCTGGTCGAGCCTTTGGTTCCTTGGGCATGGAGCGGTGGCGTCAGCACCGTGTTCGCTTATGGCCAGACTGGCTCTGGCAAAACCTTCACAGTCAGCGAGATTGAGCAGCTGGTCGCAAAGTCTCTCATGAGCGGCGGTTTGGAGGGAGAGCGGAAAGTGTATGCGTGCATCATTGAGCTGGCTGGCAACTCTTCTTTTGGTATGTCGAATTACATCTCCCTTTACTTATTTCGCCTAATATGATGCTCTAGACCTCCTGAACTCTCGGAAACCAATCTCCGTTTTGGAAGATTCTTTCGGTGTCACACAGCTTGCCGGTGCCCTGGAACACGAAATCACCGAAGCAGCCGCCCTGCTTGAGCTCATAGAAAAGGCAGCAACCTTCCGCCGCACGGCGTCAACGTTCAAGAATGACGCATCATCTCGCTCTCACGCCATTTGTCGCATCCGTATCGAAAGTCCCATACCGACAGCCGAAGACGGACTCCTCTACCTTATCGACCTGGCAGGCTCAGAAGCCGCCCGGGACATTGCCAATCACACACCCGACCGCATGAAAGAGGCCCGGGAGATCAACACCAGCCTCTCGGTGCTAAAGGACTGTATCAGGGGCAGAGCAACCGTCGATGTGGCTTCTCTGATGGGCAAGACAAAGAGCCCGACGTATATACCATTCCGGCAGAGTTCCCTCACCAAGATTCTGAAGCACGTTTTTGATCCCGTGGGGAGACGTAGCTGCAAGACTGTCGTGCTTGCCTGTGTCAATCCCAGTCTTCCAGATGCTGGCGCTGGCAAAAACACCTTGAAATATGCCGAGATGTTGCGGGTGTTGCTACCCAAGGCCAAGGCTCAGTCCTATGACCCCGAGACGCCTGCGACTTGGGACAATGAACGGTTAAAGACCTGGATCGATGCCAACGTGAGTTCATTCTCGAGACCGACCACCAAAAGAAGCTGACATGTTGCAGTCTGGAAACCCTGCCATTTCTGGCGAGCTCGTCGCGCCCACCGAGACTGGTTCGCTGCTCCTCCGCCTCCCCGCGCCCGAATTCCTCGCCCGCTGTTTGAAGAGTCCAGGAGTCGATGAAGATCAAGCTCGCGCCTTTCACGCCAAATTCTGGCGTTTGCATATCGATTCGCAAAAGTCGGGCGGGAAGAAGACGGAAAGCAAGAGCGAAGCGGAGCCTGCCAAGGGGAAGGGCCGTAAGACAGCCATGAACCAGGAAATGCTGTCCTCTAGCGTAGACCCGGATGCCAAGGCAAATGACGTCCCTTTCAAAGAGCGCATACGACCTGGAATGGTAGTGCGCTGGAGTCCACCTTCGACGTTTCCCATGGGCCTTCCTGGGCTGAACATGCTTGTCATTCTATGTCCTCAATTGGCTGTCGGACCAACTGTGAGGGATCTGACTGGTGACTTGGTCAACAGGTCAGGCTTTACTTCGACGAGGGGAACCAAGTATCTCTGCGCAATGGTCCTCCCTGGCTTCATGGCCGAATCATATGAGCTGAGCATGTGGCGTCAGGTAGTGGTAGATGTGGAACAGATGGAAGCAGAGGTTCTTCTAGAGTATGATTCGGGAACCAGATATTATCACATTACCTTGTGATTAAATCAATCACATGTTTTTGGATCTTCCAGCTAATGATGGCCAATTACCACTACCCCTCTCTCTTCTAGTAATACATTTGACTCTGCATGACACTTGCCAAATACGTTGTCTGCCGCAGACGATAATCATCCACTTCGATGAATGACATAGACCATGGATCGCTATTAGCGTTGGAAACGAAATTGGAGCCGGTCTTGTTCGACTTCTCGGCAGTCCACGCCGGCCAAATAGGGGTATCGGGGACTGAAATGAATCGCGTTAGCAGATGATCAGGGTTTGCAAGTGAGGAAGAAGCCTAGTATACCTCCATGATTATTCGGGTTGAGATCCGATACGAAAGACGCCCATGTCCTACCCATGAGCTTTGATGCCGTCGCAAACTGTAACTCGCCAAGGGTTTCTTCGTCAAGAGCGTCGAATATGAAAGAGATATCCATGGAATGGTGAGATCCCAGGCGAGGAGTGGTGCTTGGAGGCAACAGGTTGACGCGAGCTGAATAGGCTTCCGCGCCAGCAGCGGCCCAGGCCTTCAGCGTCATACGCCTGGAAGTAGTCTCAACGACATCAGTATGGAACTCGGCTCCGCGTTTCCACTGAGATCCGTACAGCTGATTGTCTTCAGCAGTCGGACTGTACCCGGCCGGAAGCCCAGTACCGTTGGTGTTGGGATACAGTCGCTCAATAGCAGAGACAGTTGAGCCATCTGGACCCCCTGCTGCGACCAGAGCCCTAAAGTCGTCATCCGTGTCCAACTTTCCGCCAAACATAAAGACGGTTGCCTCGTCGGTGGTGACGGAGTACATGATTGGCACATGGACGAAATGGCCCTTTTCGAGAGACGCAATTGGCCCGTCTTGGAGGAAATCGCCATCGACCTGAGTCAGCCAAGGACCAAGACCTGTGCCCGAGAACACCGGCGTGGCGCTCACGTTCAGGGCAGCGGAAATGACCCCCACGGGCAAGTTGCGAAGACATTCGAGCGGACTGGCTGCTTCGGAGCAAGAAGTCGTTTCTGTCAGGTTCCGGTAGAGATTTCGGGTGTAGGCAGCTGGGTCCTTCACGTTATAGGGCCACTTCTCGGCCATGCCGCCGCTCTGCATGATCGCGCCTTGGAACAGGCCGTCATCTCTGCCTCCGTAGGCAATGAGTTGTTTGCCGACGGACAAGCCTCCGGCGCTCTGACCAAAAATTGTAACACGGTGCGGGTCGCCGCCGAAGAAGGCAATGTTTTCTTGGATCCAGTGGAGGGCCAGGCGCTGGTCCCGCAGACCGTTGTTGGCGCTGCCGTTGGCTTTCACCTCGTCAGACCCCCAGAGGAACCCAAACGCCGAAAGTCTGTAATTGATGGAAACGGCTATGAGAGGCTTCTGTGCTGCAGAGGCCTGGTCCACAAAGTTTGTGAGGTTGCTGTCTCTGGACGAACCTGCGTATAGGCCGCCGCTACCGTGGCAAATTAGTTCATCATTGTTCAGACAAGATTGTTGTGGGATATTGTTAAACTCACCCATGAATCCACAGAGCGACAGGAAGGAGTCCGGTACTGTCGAGGCTGCTCGGGCGGATGACGTTGAGTGACAGACAGTCTTCAGACATTGGGTGGCTAGGAGGAGCCTAGAGGTTTGGTTAGTACCAATGACTCAAGCCGAGAAATTGACAGACAGGTCTGCGCTCACGGTGTATTGCATGCAAATGTCTCCATACTCTGTCGCAGGGCGAGTGCCATTCCACGTTGAGTCGATGCTTTGAGGTGCCTTGAAGCGGAGGTTGCCAGTAGGAGGTTGTGCATATGGAACGCCAAGGAAAACATCCTGCTGATAGCTGGGAAGAGACAAGCCCTCATAGGAGCCGTTCAACACATTCACCGTTGGTCCTGCAGAAACATCATGAGCGAGCAGAAGGATAATCGACAGAGCCGCCGGAAAGCCAACTCCAGAGTGCATCATGATGAAGGCCAAGCGCCGGTCATGAGACTAACAGCGGAGCATACACTGCAAGCCCAGTCAAAGCGTGCTTCCAAGTCCTGTAGGTTGACACTAGTGCCCGCGCCCTCTCAAAAGCACCTCGCCTTGGCTCACTGACGTCTTATAGCAGACAGCGTCCGTATTGATGTGACTCGAGCCATTTACCCGATATTCTGATGACGAGGGCCAGGCTTCCGATGATAAGGCACCAGTAATATGTCGATAAGGTCCACATTACGGCGCGGGGCTTGGTGACATTGCGGGGACCGGTGACAGACAGCCGATCATGGATGGGAATGGAGAAATCGGCACTTTTCTTGGGCATGGTAGTTGATAGCTAATCAGATGATAACATATTGGTAATTCCTGGGATCTAGAAAGCCACACATCGACTGCGTCTTGAGCGGATACAACCAGCGATGTGAACGTTGTGGCGGATCCTCGATTCCGACGTCGTCATAGCACCAAGCGAAGATGAGGGAAATGAAAGCCTTCGAGGGCCAAATTCGTATTCCCTCGTCAGCTCTCATGTCGCAAAGATCTCTCGTGGGACAGACCGTAGATGGTCCAAAACTGAATGCATCAGAACCTGTCTCCGTCAGCTTTTGGCTTCTAGCCCCCACCGACACCACAAGGTAGCTGTGATTCGTGCGAACATCGCAGCGAGCTGAAGATGAATCAATGTAGATTGGTGGCGATGCGGCAAGTCTATGCGCTCTCTATACAAAAGGCTCCTCCATGATGATTATGCGCTACTCTGGATTTCAATCCAACTCTCTTAAATCCGGTAAATCAATATCGACAAGTCGTTGGGTTTCCCTTCATCTATCGCGACCTAATCTCTCTTCATCGTCTTCCGTAAGCTCGTACGCAGGTCGGAAGCCCGCACCGTTCTGTCCTTCAGTCTTCAGCTGAGGGTTGGGATGGGTATCTTGCGTTCCGCCTAAACTCGTGTAGCCCTTGAAGATGTCAGTCACCCAATGTTGGGTTCTCTGAACCAATCATCTTACCTGATCATATAGAGGACAGTATGGTATTTCTAAATGTCGGATGAACTAGAGTTCGGTCAGTATCCTTATAACAGTAACAATCAAGGCCCATAACGCCACTGTAGCAAAGGCCCGGCATAATGTGTCAACTCACTGCCCAAATTTCGGCTGCGTAGAAGTGTCAGCAAGCAATTACACAACAACATGACAGGGATGGTTACGAACCATAATGCCAGTCGATCACAGGATGCACCCGCATAAAGGCAGGCCACCCGGAGTCCGTGGGGTCAAAATCTGTCAACTTCTCGCCGTGGGGGTCTGTCCTCCTCGTCCCTACGAAAATGGCTTTTACGGTTGGTCTGTCTGCTAGGTATGCCTCGAGTCCATCTTTCATTGACATGGCATATCGTTTTACGTCTAGATGGTATTCGGCGCTCGTGGTTTCGACAAAATCGTCAACTTCGGCGAATGGGTGCTTCGATACGATGTACACTGCCTGAAATTCAGGAGGGAAGGAAGTCGTGCCGTTCGACCCGTTCGTTTGGGAGGCTTTCGGGAGAGAAGGGTATCGACGTGCTAGGGCGGCGAGGAGTATGATCAGGAGTACGAGGCCTGTCAAAGTGGTATGTCAGCATCATACGCCAGGCTAGGACAAATGACGGTATGCGACAGTAAATGCGGTGCCATGTCTCGATCCGAAAGATTCGCAACGTCGCAGGGAACATGTCGAGAATGCAAGATGTGAGCACGTACAGTCTTTTCCTCCATTGTAGGAGATTGAAATCTGTTCCAGGCTGCCGCGGCGCATTAGCAACCCATGCGGACACAAGATAAGAGCTGACATGGCGTGTCACGCATCACGCACCTGTATCTTGCCAACGCCTCGTCAACGACCCCCATTGACGCGCGCAGCTGCTTTTGAACATTGCGCAGAACATCCGTCTTCTGGTCATCCGCTAAGAAAGCGTCGACCTTATCCTTCAGCTCTTGGCACACTTCCTGGAAACTCCGCGGGGACGACTCGGATGAGTGGGGTTTGGCGGGGTAACCGTTGGCAGCTGCGGCAGTGTGCTCGCCGTTCCCGTTTGACATTGTGCGGATGGCTTCGAGACTGCTTAGATCGGCGATTGTAGAATACCAGGGAGATGAAGAGTGTCGTCAAGAGCCAACGTGGCAGAGGGACAGGCGTACGGGCGGGAGGAGTGGAATAGGGCGGAAAGTTATCGACTTCGGTGTCCTGTCGGAGACGGCGATGGCGGGGACGTGCGGGCGGGCGACACTTGCCATTTTGCCGGCTTATCTAAGACCTCCAAGGCCTCGGACTGCCCACCGCCTTCTATTGGAGGTTTAGCGCAGCACGTGCAGATCAACTTATCAGGTCTAGCGGCCCGCCCGGAACCGAGACCCCGAAAAACGCAGGTGCGCCGAGGCCACATGTTCCTGACTCGGTAGCTTTCTTCAGGGTCCACTTGGCCCACCGTGTCCACCTCGGACTTGCCCTTCTCATTCTGGAAACAATATGGAAGGAACCCTGATACCTGCCACCTATCACCATTCCTTCTTCTTCCATTGTAACCTGTGTCCCTCAATTTGATGTTATTCACAAGTTGCTACTCAATCACTTTTCAAAGACTTGTTGCTCTGGCTCTGTTCTGCTACCCTGGTATTACTGCTTTGATCTAACGATCCCCAACGCCTTGCTAAACAAACCGGCCCCCCTATTCTCTCCATCATTAGCGCCACTCTCCTCACTGCTCGTTGGATGATCCTGATAACGGCCGGGACCGAGGAAGAAGCCTTGCAGGGCTGGTATAAGACCTCGGAGGCGGGCTCAATGGTGTGACGAGCTCTTCATCTAGCGGCCCAAACACGTCAGATCCATCATCCGATTCTCCAGCCGGCATCGCTGGAGTGATGTCTGTCACAATAGTCAACCCATGAATGTTCCACTTCTGGTTGTAGGGCGCTTCTGGTGGCATTTCCGGCTCCATGTTCGCCTCAAAGCCCATCTCCATGTCAAAATCAAGATCCATCGCCGTTGTATTTTGGATGCTTTGCTGACTGTGGCTCCCGAATGTTCCCCCATTGATCCGCTTGTGAGATAGTTTCGCCTCAGCGCTTGCTTCAGATCGTTGTCGGTTGTAATATTGCGAGCAAGTAGATCTCGGAGACCGAAGCAGAGGCCGAAGTGTCGGTATGCAAGCGCAAATCACGGCGCAGCAGAGCTCAACCTCGGACCAGATCAGGGATGGAATCACATCCCACGTTACATCAGCTGTGAATACATGAGTGAGAGTAGACATCCTGACAACAGAGATGGCCGTCGTGCTGAAGTCAAAGAATCAGTAAGAGCAATGCTTCACCGGAACATTGATCACAAACTCACATGAATCCAACGCCAAATGTAACAATCAGCGCAGCCTTTTGAGCTCGTTTCAAATTCAAGCTGCTCAAAAGCGGGATCGGCATGAAGAATATGATCATGTCGGTCACCAAGTGAACTGCAGCTGTTGCCATCCACCACGCCCCCTGGTCGTAACGCTCAAACTCGAAGGTGTCGCCTCTCCAACCTGGTGCGCTGATAACGACGGATGACACCACTACGGCAATACCAAACACCGCAATAAAGCCTAGCATTACGTCGCAAACAAGACAAAACGTGGGATGAGCAAATACTCGTCGGTACAAAAGGAGTAAAGCTATCTTCACGAAAATGAAGGTAATGTGGTATGATAAAGTTGCAGCGATCGTTGCCTGTAGCAGGTGTTAGCATGGCAGATTCCTAATTTCATATTCACAATCTGCAAGAACCAACTCACCCTGCGACCATTCTGCTGTACTTCAATAGGAACTGTCCAGACATGCATCCCAAGCCCAAATATGGTGCCTTTCCAATCGTTAGTCAAGGTCTTCTCCCTCGTGTTGCCATGGATTCAAGAAGCTCACATATCGAAAAGACAAGACCAGTGAGTACTGTCAAAGCCTGATACAGCTTAATTAGCGTCTGGCTTTTCCAATGCTCTGGAATTCAGAGTCTGATAGGACGCAAGTGCTTACATATGAGACGACGAGGAGAGTGTCGTCCAAACCCCATTTCTTCAACACCACGGCCCTCACATAGACACGTAGGGCGACAAAAATCAATGCAATTCCGAGAAACCCTGCAGTCATGCCAATGAGCAGTGGAGCTCTTGTGGCATCCGTGTATGGTGGTGTAGGGTCCCCTCGTGTGAAGCTTTCATTGTGCATGGCGACTTCTTGTCAATTCTCCCGTCCCTATCGATGGAGCTTCTGTAACGGACGGCCTTCGAATAGACGTGGTTTTCCAGAACGCTGAACTCGGATGGCTTTCGAGGCCGACATTGAACACGAAACACTGGATCAATTCGTCAAGTCGTTGCGGAAACTGGAAACTAAATGCCAGGGTGCCACGGGACACATGGCCCGGGATCTCGCACGTTAAAGACAATGGAATGTAGAGAGATTCATGGAACGCCAAAAGGTAGACACTAACAATGAAAGCTTGCCATGTCCGGCGATCCTGAACTACCGAGGAAACAACATCTCAAGTATCATCGCCGCATGCGGTCACGCCACGATGTTTTTCAGCCGCCACAACGCAGACGGCTGGGATCCTTAAAACCCACAGGCCCAGAGCCGACTCCTTGCGACCGCAATACGGGGCCAATGTGTGTGGGTAAACAGTTAGCCATTGATGCCGTAGGCTTACATGGCGAATTCAGGCGACCTATTAGAGGCGGCTATAGACATCGAACGACACACTTTTGCTCCCATTGAAGAATTTGGCTGGTCTATGGCCTGCTGTTTCGGGCTTTTCGTTGGGACTGGAAACGAGGGAGCACAAAGCCACCGGCGCACTTCCCCGAGCTCTTTCGGCGAGTGCTACAGGCATTAGTCGAGTGTTGTAGAGGATCTGCGTTTCCGGTGAACTGGATACGATTCACTACTAATCAGCCCGTGTGTCCTGCACGCACTCGCGGTACTATCCGCTGCAAGAAGACAACCTCCAGGCTGGCAAAGCCCGAGGCGGGGAACCTTCAAGCCACCTGTATTGATTCTTTCACGTGCAAATCTTCCACCGTGGCAAACCTTCCATTTTGCCGTGCAGACCTGCTGAATCATGAGTCTTAAAGCATTCGGAGCTCTCATGTTTGTGGTCTTTGCTGGTAACCTGTCGGGCTAGAACAGTTGGTTTTAAGACAGTTTCGCAATCGATACAGGTGATGGGTCACAGCAAGAGCTGCAGGTCGCAAATGTACTTGTCGGCATCGTTTTGCCGGAACACGAACGTGATAGCTTGAATGTATTGAAGATTACTGAGCTGGAGCAATACTAGTAAGATGATCTACCTGTCTCGCCAGGCGTTTCTCTACGCCTCAAGTGAAGACGTTACTGAACTTCGATGGAGGCCGCAGCTTCAAAGGATCTGTCACAATAGCTCGGTCGCTCAAGGGACGCCACATCGACCGACGCGTCTTGACTTACTGACAAGCGGGTGCTAGATGTCTTTGGCAAGGCCTTTTCCAATTCCGGAACCTCACTCAGCGTATGAAAATAAGCTGATCATATCAGCCAATTACCCCAACGTTGTCTCCTTGATAGCCAACTTTGATAGTGTACGTAAGTGGCATTATCTGGACACTGATGATCCAGGGTTGAAATGAAGGGCACAGGTCCAGCAATATGAGGCTTCAATATCAGAGGATCGCTTTCATTTAGTTCATGATGTAGAATATGTACAGAAAAGATGCATGCTTGTGCATAGATATTTCATGGACTTTTTCAAGCAGGGAACCTCGAGTTCAGCGCGTTCCACTCAGTCTGAGTAAGGGGCGTAACCGATCCATGCTTCAGTCCAGAAGGGAAGCCAGAAGTGCTACCAGCCTGCCAATTAGGCGACTGAATATTGCTGGTCTGGAATGGCACATATTGAGTGTAGTCATCCAGCAGGAGGTGGTACAGCCCGGGGGTGGTGTTGTCGGCATACGAGGCAGGTCCCTCGCGAGGGCTCTCATTTCTGACGTAGCCAGGAATGCGATTCCAAGTGCCAAAGATGCCATTCGAAGTGACCTCTTGGTAGACTTGGTTGGTAGTCTCGTTCTTCAGGAAGCGGGCATAGGCGCCAGATGTGCCCAAGTACTGGAACTCCTGGTCGATGAGGGGAGTGTCCGCCAAGGCAAGATAGTCTCGGGCCGGGCTGAAGGTGACAAAGTCCTTTGTCGTGGTGTATCGGATTCGGTCGAGCGTTGCCGTGCCGGTGTGGGCCGTGTCGGTGGACCGGTAGTGTCGGGCGGACCAGAAGACGTACCAATGAGCCTTTGCATCGTCCCAAACGGCTGACGGGGCCCAGACCATGCCAGCGGTGTCGGCTTCCACGATTCTTAGCGTGGGAGCAGACCAGTCAACGAGGTTGGCGGACTTCCAGACAACGATGCCCCTGCTACCAGTTCTCGTGGCTTTGTCCCAGTTGAAGCCAGGAGCATTGATATCAAGATCTTATAAGACTTAGCTCAATTACTCTAGCATCTCGGTTGAAGTCAACTCACCAGTGGCAATTATGTACCATTCTGATCGCGAGGGGTTTGTTGTCAGGTAGACATCACGGACAGCCTTGGTACCCACGGTCGACGTGAGGACTGCCTGACCCTTGTTGAGGAACTTGAAGCTAGACGCGCTGTTGCCATTCGACAAGTGAAACTGGACTTTCGGGTTGGCGTCGCTGAAGGTCGAGATCAGGTAGCCGGCGAAATTGGACGTTTGGCGGGCTACAGGGTTGCCAGCTACGACAGCAGCTGACGCGACGGCGGCGAGAATGGAAAAGACGCGCATCTTGAAGTTATTCTCAGATTCAGTTGAGTGGCTCCACAGAAACAATGTCGTCGTTCATCCCACACGGCATCACAGGCATCTCAGAAACTGCCATCGTATATATACTCATGTCAGTGGCGATGAGGTGATCGAAATTGGCGCCAGGGCCTTGGCATCGAATTTTCGCGTTCCGTCGCAAACGAGCTCTTCAGAATCAACAACAAAGCTTCATATCGACGTTGCTCTTCTATGGCGCGGCTAGTTGTCTAGCTCCGAGTCGGGGTAGCGTCTTACCGAGCTCTCTCACGATGCGGGGACACAAAACCCCACAGATGGTGCAATCACGTCCGTTCACGGGGTTAGCGCCTGGGGAAGACAGGCCTCTTTCGGTAGATACGGTCAGATACCCCATGGAGGGCCACATTGCTCTGCGGGGAGAACCATCTGGAGAAATCCACAAGTCGGTCGCGAACCTGTTATTGCCCCTTATTCATGATGCCATCGCGTGGGTGTCCGGAAGCACCCGCAATGCTGGGATGATCACATGGCGCAAGGGCGCATTCTTGATTTAAGCGCCAATAGACTTCCAAGAAACCAGTCAAACTCACAGTCCCAATAGCGTGTTTAACCGTTGCTTGGTTGCTTGGAATCCACACACCCCTGGTAGGGACAGTTGCGAGCCGAGTTCGAAGCCGCCCAATCATGAGGTGCCGGGCAAGCGATTTTGGAAAGGAATGGAAATTGGGTTGATACGCGATGCGTCCATGCCATCCCGAGTCCACGTACCTGCGTTAATTGCTGTTGTCAGTCCGGAAGGTTTTCGACCGAGCTACTTCGCTTTCTGTGAGTGATAGTAAAGACGTTGAAGGAAAGGCAATGGGGAACACCAACGCTTCCATTTACCTACGCTCAGTGGAAGAAGAAAGTGGACACTGAATATAACGGGCTTGACGCGAATAGAGGAGCCGGATTGAGTTCCAACAAATTACTGAACAGAGCCTAGTAATGAATGACTTTCTTATTGGAGCCGCATATTGAAGTCCCATAATCCTAATAGATACCTACGGACGGGGATGAACAACGACATTCGTATGTGGAGTAGAGTTCGATAAGGTAGTCACATCAGGTAAGGTAGATCATCAGCAGAGTCCCGAACATTCACTAGCTTGGGCTGACTAGCCTTTGTGTCGTAAGCATAACTTGCACACTCCTGTCCTACTGCTGACGGTTGGTAGAAACGGCGCCGAATCAGATAGCTCCGATGGAGCACCGGCATCTCTGCTCAGCGGCTCAGAAAGGACCGTCTTGGCCCCAAAGCCCGAAGGCCGCAGCCCACTTTTAAGGCCGGACTCGAGGGTACTTCAGGCTTCACCCCGTGTCCGAAGGCCCCTTCTGCTGACACCGTAGGGTAAGACGAATGACGTAGTCTGATGCACTTTGCTCCTTGAGGATTATCGTTAGACTGAATTCTCCGCAATTGTCGTAAGCTCATGATGCTTATCACCACATCCCCTGCGCTTCATTATGTTGTTCATTTATACCTCTTCAATTCCGTCAAACTCGCACAGACAACTTATCCTAACTTGTAGCTACACTGAAAACCAATCGACCCGGAACATATAAATCGACGAAATGCAGGAACCAAACGTTTGGCTTATCACGGGCACCACCTCGGGAATAGGGGCTGCCCTCGTGGAACAGTTCGCCGCAAGGGGCGACAAGGTCATTGCAACAGGTCGGAATGCGACGGCGAGGCTCGCAGACAAGAAGTCGGACAACGTCGTACCTTTCGACCTCGATGTAACCTCCCCGCTTGCAGATGTCAGAGCCCAGGTGCAACAAGCTGTCGAGGTCTTTGGGCACATCGACTTCGTTATTAGCAATGCCGGTTACTCTCTCCTGTCTTCAATTGAAGAAGCGGAGTAAGTACCTCCAAAACCTCATGTCATGTAGGAAACGAAGGGGCCCTACTAACGAACAGCTTGTAGCGAAGAATTCGTTCAGAAAATGTTCGACACCAACCTCTTTGGAGCAGTGAAGGTGGTTCAGGCAGCTCTTCCGCATTTTCGTGAAAGAAGATCAGGTACCTTCGGGTTTATCGGTGCTGGATTCGGCTGGGCATCTTTTCCATTTATGGCTCATTATGGCATGGCCAAAGGTGCACTCACAAGTAAGTGGCCCAAACCAGATGAGGGGGATCGAATGAAACAAGACGAAGAGTCTAATCATTGAGCAGTGTTTGTGGAGAGTCTCCAGAGGGAGACTGCTCATCTCGGTATCAAAGCCGTTATCTTCGAGCCCGGTGGTGTCAATACTGCCATAAACGACAAGAATGAAGACAAGCCTCAGTCTGAGGGACCTCCTCCTGGTTTCCCCACTATTGCAGACTACCAAGGCCTGTATGGTGAAGCTATGGGAAGAATCGCGACAGAAGTCTTCCCAAACCTCCCATCATCCGTGGACAAGCTACCGCCAGTCATTTGGGACGTGGTCAAAGGGCAGGGCTCAGCAGCCGACAAGGCGTTCCCAATCAGGGTGCCGATTGGAGTTGACTCCGTTGAGGTCATCAGGCAAAAATGTCAAGAGCAGCTCCGTCTTTGCGACGAATGGGAGAAAGCTGCGTTGAGCACCGCTAGAGACGGAGTGACTCAGATCCCGAACGAGTACATGATGAAGAAGCTCTCTATTCTGGATATGACAAATTCTTGAGGTATTAGACGAAGAAATTACCAAGAACATATGTAGACTTGCTCTCTAAATGTTGCTTACATGACTTCGACCAGTGCCGATCACGCCCTATCCACAAAGTGTTGTTTTCCTCAATACCAAACCCTGTGGTTCTGAAGAAGACCCGCAGTAATTATAGGCCTTCAGCCAGTCAACCAGACTGTATTGGGAGGTGTGTATGCTACTCAACGGCGCCTGAGCACCAGGCTTACTTGAGGATTGAGAGTGCTCAGGCGCTTTTAGCGAACGCTTTCGGAGTGACGTAGAGTGCCGATATAGTAGGAAATCAAGCTGTCGAATAACTTGTGTTAGCGGGATTCGCGTTCTGGTTGGAGTTTCGTTGTGCAGCTCACCACATCAGAAATCCACAGATAAGGCCGTAAGCCCGCAGGCTTGAATGACGAATGATTGCACTTATCCACCTAATGCGAAGACAAGCAACCCAATACGGGAGACGTGCATGTTTGGCTGGGTCAACGCTGTTGGGTAGCGAGATCCGCCGACCGTCGGAAGTGGGTGTTGTCTTGGATGAACCACGGGAAATATCCTCCTCAACCGGATTTCCCGTACCGCGCTTGTTGGAAGGGCTTGATGTGCCAGTGGAAAATTGTCCATTGGGAACAATTGTAATGTGGTACGAAGTCTTGTTTGTCACCGGTCGGATGTGGTTGATAATTGTTCCCTCGTTTATTTTCATCTTGACAGGCCCGTTGTACTGATTGTCGGCTGCGGAGCAAACATTGTTCGATGCGGTGTACGGATATGTAGACTCAGTTTGTCTTCTTGTAGCGTCGTAGTCCATCGTAGTTTTCGGTGGCATTGTCGGCGAATCGAACCACCACAGTTGTTTGCTTGACCAGTCAGTCGTCGTAATGACTCGGAGGTGGTGTGGTTAGCCTGGCTCATGACACCCCGAGTTGGGAGAATTTACGGGAGACTAGGCAATCTTTCTGTTGTGGGAGGGCTGGGACCATGCCTGTGTGGCCATCGCTGCGGCAAAGTCGAAGCAAGGGCCGTTTGGTGCGAAGCGCCAAGTGGTGAGTGTCCAGGGGTCTGCCCAATGACAAAGAGTCTTGCATGCAGCAGGTAGGCAAAGCAATCTCGACGCGTCCGGTACCATTGTGAAAGAGGGAGGAGCAAACGCTTCTGTGTCGGGCACAAGGTACCCTGCATTCTGACCGCGGTAAGAAGATGTCGAGCGGAAGCGAGACGCGAAACATCGTTACAGACTTATAATCTCGCGTTGGTGCATGTATCACTTTTCCCAGCGTGTTATCGATAACATTGCAAGACAAGTACTTAGCACAATGAACTCCAACCCGCTTATTGTTTCTCAAGTATCTTGTATGGAAAGAATTGATGAGTATGTGAGTCCCAAGACGATCTCACGTCTGATGCCCGAGATCAGCTTGATCGCAGCGCCTCGCAAACAGGGCTGCCAGCATACACGCATCGGGCACCATGCCCACCATCTTCTGTATAAGAGCAAGCCCAAGTCTCGCCCCCAATGTACAGCACACCAAACCCAAGCTTGGTCGATCCTTTCAATATTTTTGCATAGGGACATTCATTCGGAGCCTCGAAGAGTGTGAGTTTCTATGTAAATTGGGGAGGTTCTCAACTTCTCGTTATCCGGAAGCAACGCGACTGGATCTCTATATTAAGCCGAGTGCTTTTCGGTATCAAAAAATCACATATTCAAGTACCTTACCTTAGGTCTCAAGAGAATAGTCAAACATCATGGATGTTAGTCTCCGTTAACTGTGATGGCATCTTGACTCTGACGAGATAGAAAAGTTCCAGTCTCCAGATGACCAAAGACTGTCCACTAGTATTCAAGTACTCACAATTCATGACAGTACAAGTCCACAGCTGAGCTAAAGCAGTGAGTACACCCATTCCATCTCCAAGGTCTATGTTCTAATGGCGGTGAGAGGAAAGATTTGAATTTCCACACCACAAAAAAGCAGCAGCATGGCGACATTGCCTCTAGAGCCTGCTTTGAAACCAATGACATTGAATTCATCTTCTTGGTGAGGCTCTTCCAAAACCAATCGAACGAAGCCGTTCTATGGACTCAGCCCCCTTTTCCGGATAAACCCTGCCCGGTCTTGCATATCAGCCTTATTTCTTCCTACATCACAACGTGGAATGTATCTCTGTTCATCTTCAACATGTACAGAGTTCACCCATAGGCATGTCATGACTTCTTCACTACGCGGCCCCCAAGACAGAGACCGACTTGATCATCTCCTGCCACGTTATCGCAACCTTCATTCGGCGCATATGTCTGCCCGCATGTCTTCCGGCCACACCACTATGCTATCTTAAGATTCAAAGTGCAAGAATCTCTTGTGCGGACATATCTATTGGCCTGCCCTTCTCACCGCCTGGTGGTGATCAGTAGCCTTACCACAAAGCCTTGGAGTTGTCAGGCCTTGACTCACTTCCACGGTCTCTCGACCATGGCCGAAATCGTCGGAGTTGCGGCTGCTGCTAGCCAGCTTGCGGTATCTTGCTTTGCGATTCTCGAGCTCATGAAAAAGATAAAAGAGGCGCCATCAGCCTTGAAAGATTATCAAACACATCTCCAAGAACTCTATGATCTTTCCACCTCTATATCTCTCAATCCCCTTCTCCAGACCAAAGAGATTGGTTCACAGACTCTTTCGCTACAGGCGATTGTCAACCAATACGACATCGAGTCAATTTTAAGCAGAAGCCGTTTGTTACAATCCTTGGGATTTCTTCGCAAAGAGAGAGATCTGAAGAATACCTTGAATATTCTTGAAAGGCGCAAGTCCCACCTTTCTCTCATTATCCACAACATCGAGGCCAGCACACTCCACCAAATACAGTCAGACATACGTGTTATGGCAAACCGTCCCTTACGCAACAGGCAGGAGAGCCTTTTGCTTGGTCCTAAGCACGATGCTGCCGAATTCGAAAAACAAGCCGGTGGTTCATCATCCACAACGAGTGGTGATTCAGTCGCGCTTGTGAAGAGTTCGCATGGGCCTCAAGACTGGAAGCCTGCTTCTGCTCTTCATACCTACATGCACCCTCAAAGAATGACTAGCGAAGCCGAACAAAGCCATATCTCTGAGCAACATCAGGGCCATCCCCTTCCTACCGGCGACCGCCCTTCTTCTCAAGATTGGCCCCAACAGGAATTTCCCTTCGGAAGTGAAGTCCGAGGTCGTTCCATGTACTACAACTGCACGGCTGGTGAAGGCGTCAACCAAATAAATGGCGCGTACGTCGAGAACGACTCAAATCTGCTTGACCAGATGGCTATGCAGCGACCTGGACCTCACTTCAATTACACCCACTTTGGTAACGCAAATCCCACAGCTTCGTCTTGCATGACTCAGCCCTCGAACTCTGCCGACAATGCACTCCTGTTCATCAATTGTACAAAGTCTGGGCCTGGCGAACAAATCAACAATATCCACGCCACTTACGACCGCGATTTGTGTGGGCTTCCGGTCTTGCATGCCTACTATTCCGGTTGCAACATGCTGTCGGGCCAAGGTCCTGTTCAGAATGGAACTGTGCAAAGGCAGATCAACGGCCCCAGCCTGAGGAGACTGAAAAAAGCTAATACCGAGGATTGAAAACTCTTGACTAATTGTGAGAGATCCAGAGATCCTGTGGTTCGACTGGGCTTTGTTTGATGGATTATGTTGAGATTTGTAACTTTCCTTAGCGTGTTACTTTTTTTGCTTTCTCGTGGTCTTTTCCGTGTAAAGCTCACTTTCTTTAACATGCCTCTTTCTAATTATGTTATCCGCAAAGTTTCCACAACCCAAATACTGGACTAGAGCTGTGCCACTCCTTAGAATTACGTAGAAACCTCAAGTCATTCTTTCATGATCACATTCTAGCCTTGAACCGTCGACTTAATCATGCTCTGCTAATGTACTCATATCTACACCGATAGAGGCTGTGGGGCGCCCGGCTCAGCATTATAAGAGATTCGACCGGCAGGCAGAAAAAAAAGTGCTACCAAAGCTCCTTTCCGGACCTCAGGGAAGTGATGTGTTCCAGGTCCGGGGGATGTCCAGCCAGCACCCTGCCAGCCTTGCATTCCTTTGAGTTCTGCCGTAGAATCCAGCTGGATGACGCAGTTTATCTCGCCGTAAGGATGAGCGTGATATTGTCCTCTAAACTCAGTATCGCTATCCATGAATACGGTCGTGATGCTGAAGTATCTTGTCGCCGCCGAAGGAAGTGCGATCTTGCCCCGCCGGTATTTGCGTCCGTCAATCTCGGTCTGCGCTACCCATCCTTCTTCGAGACCCTGTTTGATATGGGAACAGAAGTCTTCGTAGTACTGATTGCCAGGTCCGAACTGCTGATTGAGTCGCGTCTCCAAGTCTTTACCGGGTGTTCTAGTGTAGTCGATGTGAGTTGGATGGATTGATTTCACATAAATCATGTCTTAGGTGAAACAACTTACAAATCTTGCACCTCATTCAAAAACTCGCAACACCGAGAGACAAACTTCGCCGCCGTCGGCCATTGCGACACATCCAGCACTTCAGCTGTATCTGTCTTCTCCATTTTGAAGAACGCAGATAGGGAGTTGGAGTTGATGGTGAACAGGTGTATTTTGGGGGGAAAATGGCTAAGCCAAGATAGTTTTGTCGGTAGTTGAAGCCGGAATGCCACATGGTGCGGGGAAGAGGAGTCGCTTAGATCTCGTCGGTCACGCCTACACGGCTTCCTAGCGTGTTGATGACGGAAGCGATCGTTCAAAGTAAGCGTTCACGTGGCGCTCTTGTAGTTGAATATTTGGACCCGATATCCAAGCCAAAGAAAGATAATTGTCCCTGGAAATTCGAACAACAATCGAAGAGTCGCGTATAATCATAGAACCGCGTACCGTTGCATCTCCGCAAGCATTTCCGACAGCGATGAGATTGCCATCTCCATTCAACTGAAAGCAGCCGTAGTAAGCCTCATGCTGCTGTTGCTCGCCTGGCGTCTCCGCTGAAGCATTTCCAACAACCCCTAAATAGTGAATGAGATTTGAATTGTGCAGTATAATTTCTTGTGATCAGGGAAAGGGTCAAGTAATAGATAGCAGTTGAGACTTGGGCAAAGTACGTTATGAAACGCCGTAGATGTCAATTTTGATACTGCAATACCTCCATTCTTATCAGGTTGCCTACTTAAAATATGACTCGCTGGTAATGAGAACATACAAAAGTCATCCTTCATAACCTATATGTCTATTAAGGCACGTACAAGAACAGAATTGAAGTTTTTTCCGCTGCTTAACTCATTTGTATCAAACGATTTGATGAGCGCCTTTCATTGCGTGACTTAGGCGCCGTTCTGGCCATTTGATACATTAAGGGCCAATAGGTTCGGGAAGATGATGTAGCAGTCCAGCGAAGAAAACACAGGAGAGGTACGCCATACAAAGCGATTTCTGATTGACAGGGCTACCTACTGCATCGTAAGATCGAGGGAATACACAAGTTTGGGAAATATAAGTTCAGGATACCAGACGCATTGGTTGTGGCAAATACCATGCTTCCGGCTCGAGATACTTCCAAAGGATCATCAGTTCATTCTATCTAAGGTACGCAAAGAACCTAAGGATGCAATGCCATACAACATGATGTGCACGACCTTGTTTGCCAGGGCCGGCCGATCAGAAGCTGATATCTTTGAGTGTGGAGTAGCACCGCATCACTGGGAACAGATGCCGGTGGGAGGCTGATATAATCATAGCTTGGCGGGGTGAAATGCATGCCAGCTTGACAGAAGTCTCCGAAGTCCGCCTCTCACGATCGGAGGCATACAGAA